AGATACCCATGGGAGGTCATAGGATTTATATTTCTATTTATTATCTTATAGTTTTACAGACTGGAAGTAAGAAGTGTGCCTGCCATGGACCGAATTGTGTCCCTTCCAAATTCACATGTTGAAGCTCTAGTGTGGTAGTATGGGGAAATGTGGCCTCGGAGAGGTAATTAGGTTGGATGAAGTGGGAGGTATTAGTGCCCTTGTAAGATGAGACACGAGAGAGCTTGGTCTCTCTCCCCATGACTTGAGGACACAGTGAGAGGGCAGCTGTTTGCAAGCCAGGAAGAGACCTCTCACTAGAAGCCACACATATGACACTTTGATCTGGAAATAAATGTTGCTTAGGCCACATGGTATATGGTATGGTGGTTGTGTGGCAGCCCGAGAAGACTCAGACACGGCTAAAATCAAGGCGTTCACTTCCCTTGATTCTCCATGTTGCCCACACCCATGGCCCATGACCACTTCCTCCATGTCCAAAGCCAGCAACGCAGCATCTTCAGGAGATTCTGTGTCTCTTATGTTCTCCCCAACTAGCTAAACTTAATCATTTACAAAATTCTTATTAGGGCATCATAGTCATAGGTTTAGGGAATTAGGAGTTGAACACCCTTGAGGACACTATTATTCTGCCAACTACATATTGTCAGATACTGATTTAAGTGTTACCACATGTCACACGAGGTTCCCAAAGCTAGTAAGTGGCAAACTAGGACTTGAACCCATGCACCCTGGCTCTGGAGCCTGTGCCCTAAACCCCCACAGTACATCCTGCTTTTGTGACTTGCTTTTTCTCTTAATTTATTTTGAGTATTTTCCTTACCTTAATTTATCCTCTAAATTTCAGAGTCTGAAACATAATTTGTAATGGCTAAACAACTTTTATCGTCCGAATGAGAGACAACTCATGTAACCATTTTCCTATAGGAATATCATTTTTAAATGCTGTGGTACAATTTCTTGTCCGTAAATTTTGTGTTCATACATAATTATCAGCTGAACTTGTGCCAGCAGATAATAATAGAAATTCCATGAAGTGAGGTTCTCTGGTTAAATAAATTTGAGAAATGCTGTACCTATATTCTTGTGTTACAGATTCATAATCATAGCAGCACCAAAACCAGAATTATTTTAGATATGGATATAATTCTCTCTCTCTCTCTCTCTCTCTCTCTCTCTCTCTCTCTCTCTCTCTCTCTCTCTCTCTCTCGCTCTTTCCCACATTGATAAGATAATAGGACACTGTTTTGGAAACATTACTTTAGAATTAACCCAGCCAAGTAGAGCTGCTTATCCTCAAACACCTTCAAAACCTTTGGTCTAAAATTAAATAGAATAGTTTGAACAGAATCATGTTTATGAAACAAACTCAGTGTTTCCCTTCCTCCGCAAGTCTTTGTTCTGTTGTGTCCTTGTGGCTATTGTAGAGGTCACATTACCTCTTCTCCCTGCACAGTAAATGAGATTGAGGCTTTCAGAGCTACACTGCATGGTCTGCTCATGGTGTTTCCCAGACACAGTGACTGCCCTTCTTTAAGACAGCCCTTCTGGAGAGTGTTTAGTCCAGGTGAGAAATCGGAGGGCACAGTGTTAATCATTGAAAATGCAGGCTACTTTCTGGCATCATCAGCCATAGAATCATTCACCAGGTGAATAAACCAATATAAGAGCAAAGTTTGCTGGAGGAAAGCTGAAGTGGAAGCTGCTGTTATTAGGGAAATGCTGCAAGAGATGTGCAGCAGAGCAAAGAGAAACATGCACTAAAGACAACCGGCATTGTTTGAGGGCTCTAACAGGGAGTGTGCTCCAGGCCAAAGAACTCTGAGAGGGCCCTATGGGGGGGGGGGCTGAAGGCAAATGTAACTGACCTCTCAGATCTCTGCATGGGCCACTGACATCACATTCTTGTGCTGATCTCTGAGACCCAAACAGTGGTGATGTCTGCAGGGTCTGCAGGTGGGGAAGGTGCACGGAGGTCTCTCACTTCCCTAACTGGAAAGACCATAGGTGGCAAGCTTAGGAGCTCCTCTGAGGAAGCTGTCAGGTGAGGACCAGATCCTACTCCTGCTTTTCAGTTGTCTGTGATTCCTAAGTTGACACACAATACCTCCCTTTGCACATGATTTGACCCACCCATGAGTCAGGACAGTGTGAGATTACAGAGCCCAGCAGAGGGCGCTGACTAAGCTAGTCTTCCCCAGTACTGACCAGACCGATGGTCAGGAGTCTGGAATGACGCACAATGCCTGTGACATCTGCCCTGAGGCTCTGATGTGGACCTCGTTACCTGAAGCTTTTTCTTTCAAAGCCTCAAAGCCACCCTCTCTATGGAGGCAGCTACTGCATAAAAGGTCTTCCTACAATCTTTGGTGGTTGTCACTGCTAACACTTGCTCAAGGGATTTTTTTTTTTTTTCCAGAGTAAGAAATCAGCAGGAGAGCTGGGTGTGGTGGTGCACACCTGTAATACTCAGCACTCTGGAAGCTGAGGCAGGGTTGGGAGTGAGACCCTGTCTAGCAAGAAGTGTCTTTAAAGTTTAATAGCTGATCACTCCTCTGTAGTAACTTTTTGTGCTCTTTATAACTCTCTTGCTTTTACCATATATCCCCAACATCTAATATAGCCATGATCGACACTGGGTTTGTGCGCCAGATAATTCTGGAATTAGCACGTGAGCCTACATGGTGTAAGCCATTCTCGGGTGTCATGATGTCCACCCTAAATATATCACAAGGTCACTGTAAGGATTAAATGATGTGAAGGCTATAAATGAAATTGAAATGCCGTATTACTAATGCAAAACCATTGAGTCTGTAGTTTTGTGGCTATAGGATATTTTAGGCCATGTGCTTTGGTGAAGACATTTGAGCTCTTTCTCCAGATCCCCTGTGGGAACTCTGTCCTAATTCACAAGCATTCACTATGCATGTTTTGTAATGCATATACTGGTTTACACAACACACATCGACTTCTGCATCTGGCCTCAGACCTTGGTTACTGTTGGTGTCCGGCAGTGACCATAATGGACAAGACCCTATCCCAAAGGTCTGTACCCATATAAAATAAGACAAGTCCTTACGGTGCAAGGGTGCATGTTTTCAGGTGATTTTATAGTTTGGAAAAGTAGGTGCTATAACTACCAGGTATGTCAGCATGCAAAACTGGCTTTCAGAAAAGCATAAATAGAGTACTGTGAAGCCCAATGCTGTGTGTGTAAGGTATGGAACAGAGCATCCAGGCTCTGCTTTCTAGGAGTGCAACTGATGAGAGATGATCTAAACACTTAAGAGGTCAAGTGGAAAATGATGATAATCAGCCGGGCAACTTGGTGTCTATTTCTGCTCTTAGAAGTGCTGCAAAATGGTATAAAGAAGTCACAGGAAAGTATCGTTTATTTTGGCTCTGTAGCAATGTTCTCTGAGACTCCAACTAGATAATAGGTAGACTCACTGGATGCTTTCTGTTCTAAATATTAAATTTAGGCAAGTATGGTGGCACATGTCTATAATGCCAGCATTTGGGAGACTGAGGCAAAAGTATTGCTGCAAATTCAAAGCCATCCTGGGCTATATAGTGAATTCGAGGCCACTCTGAACTACGTAGTGAGACCTTGTCTCAGAAAAAGAATAGTAAAATATTCCAACACAAGGATGACTCCTTTCAAAACCCCTGTGGATGTTAAAACTTGAAGAATATAGTTGATCAGTGCAAGATTAAAATGACACAATAAATGATGAATTACTGATTGTTAATCGAAAAATAGGAATTAAAAGCAGGCTTTTTAGCTCCTATCAGAAGGAGCTTGTGCCCACCATCTACACAGAGGCATTGACTCTGGCTTCGCTTGTGATTCCTGCTGTCAGGCAGAGGCCAGGTGAGCAGTATTGGACAAGATGCTTGAGTCTCCTTTAGGTTGGAACTGAAAGGGATCAAGTGAGGCTGTAATATCCCCTAGCAGTGTCCAAACTTCTGGGCTTGAATGGATCCATTTATTTTGGATAGCTTCTCTACCGTGCTTGTTGCATACTGCAGCTAAGACACTCACAAAGGGCGTGGTCAGAAAAATCATGACTACTGCACCTTCCCAGAGGTGCTCTTGGGTCTCTGTGGTACTAAAACTTGCCCCTTGGCAGACCTGAAGCCAAGGCCAGGCACTTCCCAGAAGAGAAGGATGTAGGTGTTCTTTGCAATAGTACCCAGTGTCCCCTCACCACGGTCTAACTAACCATTGGCTTCATCTGCTCACCCTAAGAATTCCTGAAGGGCATCTCAAGAGCTAACCTCATGCCATTCCATGGCTGCCACTCACCTCTCTACTGTCTTTGTTGGTATTTTTTTTTTTCTTAAGTTTTGGGAAGACCTCAGAGTCAGATACCTTCAGGACTCCACCAGGTAAGGAAAATGAATGAAATTGGTGAACGTAAGACTGGTGACTGGGAACAAACAAGCCTCACTCTTACCCAAAGGTTTTGAAATGCTGTGTGTCCATGCAGAAAGCCTTTGCAGGTCAGCTGAACATTGGCCACCTGTGGGAGAGGACGGAGGAGGCTGGGAAGGCCAGCTACCATCCCTGGCTCTGGTGACTTCTGTTCAGCACAGACTTCTCTCGGTGGAACTCAGTTGCTGCATCTGTAAGAAGTGGGTCTCTAAGGCTCCAGAGCACCACCACCTCCTCTGACAGTTGAACTCTCTGATCCGTGATAGAATATGTCTCTCTGAAGCAGCTGGAGCCATAGTCTGATGCATGAGTGCAAAGTACCTGTCAGGCCTGTTTGATCTGACTGACTTTTCGGAACCAGTGTCTTCGAGGTCTTTGTTGAGTGACTGCATTTTCCTTAACGGTTTTGTTTCCTGTAATAAAATAGTCTGTGTCTACCCATCCTGCTGGAACCACTTTTGATGTCAGAAGTTGCTTTTTCCCCCACCAGTTTTCTCTTCTTTCCAAAAGCGGTCATGAGCAAACAAAGCTTAGAAAGGGTGTTCTCTTCGTGTTGTTTCAGGGAAAATAGAGAAAGTCAAACCTCCTCCATCCCCCACAACTGAAGGCCCCAGCTCGCAGCCTGACTTAACCCCCGAAGAGGCTGCCGGAACCCAGCGGCCCAAGAATCTGATGCAGACCCTCATGGAAGACTATGAGACACACAAATCTAAAAGGCGTGAGAGAATGGATGATAGTAGTGTAAGTTTTCCTCCTTTCCTTTCAATCCTCTGAAGGTGACGGTCTGTGTGGCTAGTGGTATTGCAGGTCAGGGATGGATGTGTATGCAGGTGTCTGGCCAGCATTGTGGGTTCAAAACCAGTTTTCAAATGTGTGATTTAACGTGCCTGGAGCTCTTGACAGTGTCAACCATGCAATGATCTGTCCTTTGGGTGCCTAGGACAGCTCAAGCCCACTAACAAGGTTGGTAGCTGAGAAGTTTGGTGGCTAGAAAGACCATATGCAAAGGCACCCAACAATGAAGGCCAGGAACACTGTGGAAGCTTCTTCAGGCCTGCTGTGTAGAAAATTTTTATTTCTGGAGAACAATGAAATGCTGCTCCTTCAAAATCTCCTTTGTGGCAATCTTTATAAATGTTACCCAGTGCTCAAAAGGCTAAGTGTGTTCTGGCCTGTTTCCAAGCCCACGTGTGTAGTTTGGCAGAAAAAAGACATCGGAAATGACAGTTTAAAACCACATGGCTACCCCTAAACCCCAGGATTTCTCACGTGGTGCTCACATGAACTAGGGAAGCATCATCTGCTCTGTGGTTTCTTTGTCCAGCAAGAGACCTCAGAGTTGCTGCACACGGTCCCTAGAGCCTGGGTGAGCCTCAGAGTTTCATGCCAGCACCCCAGGGGCTCTGGCATCAGTCTCAGAGCATTCATCAAAGTCATCCCTCCCTTCCCCCAGTAACTAACATCAGGGGACAAATAGTTTGGATTGGGACACTGCTGCATTTATCCAGGCCAGATCCTGGTTTAGGCCTGTGGTCTGGTATGATTGTGAATAACATCCCCTTTCACTCTTAAATGCCTCCTGTCTGGTTGGCAAACTGTCTGGCCGTCTTAGACTTGAACACTTCATAGAAGGGTCATGCTGACTTAACTGCCTGTCAAATCCCGGCTGGATAAGCAATGGATCTCTAGAGTTGAAGCCGGACACTGCAATTTGCTTTCAAAATATTTGGTGGTAAAGAAAGGCAGAAAGTAAGCACACAAGGATAGAGCAGCCTGCCAGCTTGCAGGGAGTCTCCCAGCTGTCCCTGCGTTAGTCCCAGCCTGCCTGGCGCAGTGGCGAGGCTGGCATGCAAGGCTGGAGGGCTTCCAGTTGGTTCTCTGTATTTCATACTGGGACGGAGCCTGGCCCTTTTTGGTTGCCATAGACATTTCCTCTGGGCATCAACGGTGGGGTGCCGGCTGTGCTTCCTGAGCTGCGGGACATGTCCTACCCACGGAGCCACCCGAGCTAGCCCTTCTTTGGTACAGAGCTCACCTTTAGGTGTGTTTGGTTGCCTCTGGTCATTCGGAAGTGCAGTGCTGTGTGTTACTTCTTCCCTCCCACGGATGCATTACCAGCTTTGCTGGAAGGTGGCTGAGTGTGGAGGGGAAAGAACTAGCCGAGCCCCTGAGTTGGGATTTCCTCTTTGTATTCATGAGCTGTGTGGAGTCAGGATTTAAATAACTATGAAGAGGTAACTTCCTAGTCTAAAACAATAGGCATTTTAGGTAAGATAGAAACCTACTACCTAATCAAGTGGTTACTATCTCTTGGTCTTGAATTTGATGTTTAACTGTTGCTTACATTGCAGTAAGTAGAATCAAGTGTTCTGTGGGACATGTAATCCCATCTCCTCACTCTGGTAGGCTGAGGCAGGAGAACTGCCAAGTTCATTCCCAGCCTGAATAACCTAGTGACTTAGTAAGACACTGCCTCAAAATAAGAAATGAAACAAGGACTGAGTATGTGGTTTAGGGTGAAGACCCTAGGTTCAGTCCTTGGTACTACAAGATAAATACATTAATTCTTAGGAGTAGAGCAAAAACTATCAGTCTCTCTACTAAATCTCCTTTTTAAATGAGATCCAACTTCAAAAATACACTGTTACTTCTAAAGCGACTCTGTGATCATCAGCCAGACTTAATTTCAGAGCCATTTTAGCTTGTCTCCCAGTCCTTCTAACACACAAGGTCTTTTCTCTTGTATCCATGTCAATCACTGGAACGTGTATCGAAGTTTACCTGTAGGGATGAACAAACTTCCTTTTTCCCCCCTGGCTTTTCTGTGATCCCTCCCCCATTTTTCTTTAATTATCCCCTCTACAAAAGGATTGTGTAACTGACTTCCCGATCCTATTCCTAGACACTAACGGTAATTTTCTTAAAGGTAAAGTAATTTCTGCGCGCCTTGCTGGAGATAGTACACGATCTCCAGGAGGGCACACAGGATTAGAAACCATGCCTGAGAGCCCTGTGGGTGCCCTCCCAGGATCGGAACCCTTTCGTAAAGAAACCATGAGATTGTTTGTGTGTTTGCTTCTGCACAATGATTTGGGCCAAATAAAAGCAGAAGTACACCCTGTAGCACGAGGGTGGCTGCCATGCAAGAGAGAGCACAGCGGCCTAAAGAACAAGTTTTGTAAGTTGAATGAAAAGAATTCTCATTTGCTGTGATTCCCAAGAGAAGGCAGACTAAGAGAACAGACAGCAGGGCTGTGTAAATAGTAGGGCGCATTAGGCAGTCTTATGAGGCCCAGAAAAAGAGAAGGCGCCCACGTGAAGCCAGGCCTGGTTTTACTGGGAAACTTGCGCTAAAAGCACTGAGAAAAGCGATCCTTGCCATCAGCTCAGCTTCAGACACTGATGGTGTTTGGAGTCCTGTGCACAGCTCCCTACAGTTTTCCAACTCTAGGAAAAGTCATATGCAGACCAGAACAGAAGGCCCCTGGCTCACGAAATCCTGGCCAGGGAATAGTGTGAGCGAAGCTGCAAGACGTTCGATGATCTCTGTCACACCCTAAATCGTCTTTCTGTCCTGCTGGAGACACAGTGGTTACTGAAGGTCTCAGCAAATGACAGCGCATGGAACACGAAACCACAGCTTTCTTGGAATGTCTACCCAGTGATTGCTGTGCTGACAGGACTAACCTATCTGTGGATGGTTTCCTCATTTTGCAACGGGTAAAAAGGAAGGTCAGTGATAAGGAATATTTCCCAAAAAGTCTCCCCCACTCCCGAGCCATGCTTCCTGCTGGCTCAGGACGTGAGCGAGGTTCTCCCTTCCGCGATCAAAGCCTTCGCTCCCCTGCCCTGCTTCCCTGCTCTGCCTGGTCACCAGTGACTATCTCTAGCACAAGGCTCCAGCCCATTTATTAATGGAGTATTTGGCCAATTTTTGTGAAAGGAGGGTTTCTCTCTTCACCCTTGCCAGGGGCTAATTACCAGTCTTTAGAGAACCTCTGTATAGATTAGAAAAAGGCCCTTGGTCCTCTGGGAGGACGCAGCCCTCACAGTTGGCAAGTGGAAAGGGGCACTGGGCTTGCACACCGTTCAGCCCTTTAACCTGGTGCCTTTGGGCACTGCGCAGATACAGTAACCCTGCTTATCCTCCTTTCACTGTGGGTTTTTCTTATTTAGAAATGTGATCGTATCGTAATCCGCCTTATCTGGGTCTAATGCCAACGCATAATACATTGAGGAGTCATAATTTCCTAAAGGCTTTCTCAGTGTCCTGTAAAGGAGTTGGCTTAGATAAGCTGAAGTGGGAGAAGACCTTGCCCACTGTAGACCTGGGAGACCTGTGGGCTCCAGGTCTTGGATGATGGGCTACTTGTTTTCCGTGAGACACCGAGAAGCCCTGTAAGAAACTGATTCATTAGTCCATCATGAGTACGGTGCCGTTAGGTGTTTAGGGAAACAGTATTCTTCTGGCGGGTTGTTCCCCCAACCTGACCTGAGCCTCAGAAGGTGAAGAGGAGGGATCCTCGGGTCAGTGATGCTTTTGAACACTGTACCCATCCTTGCTGAGTTGGAGGGATGCTGCTCTGAATCCAAATTACAGTCTTCTGGGTGTTCGGCCCCTTCTAGTACGGGATTTCCTCTCGGTTTGCCCCGCTCCATGACTCTCTCTCTTCCTTCCCTCCCCTTTCTCCCCTTTCTTCCTCCTTTCCCTCCTTTCCCCCCACATCTCCTTGCTCCCCTTTCTTCCTAACACCTAAATACCCAGAGGTCTTTCAGCCCCCTTTGCCAGCCTTCAGAATCACTCACCTGGCTTATGTCACAGCTGGGGGCTGGCACTGAGTGACTCTCTCAGAATCGCTGACACCTCACTGGGTGGGCAAATGCAAGCCTCTGCCCCCAATGCCTCTTTGCCCGCCGGGCTCTTCAGGAAGCTCGGCTGCCATCAGTGCTGCTTTGAGTTGCCAGTTCCCTCTCAGGTTCTCACTCATACCATAGGGAAGGTACAAAGGAATGGAGCACCCCAAATTCATCATCCCCCAACCATTAGCCTGATCTCTCCAGGGCTGTGCTTTTTAAATGCTACACAGAGATAGTAGGTGATGATCACAGGTGTGTGAGCCCAGCTGAGCAGCCTGTGATGACAAGTGCCCATAACCAAGCAGCCACCTTGACCATCCTTAAGCAGGCTAAATGTAAATTTGTTAGAGAATGCTGGGGTAGTTGCGCAGGCAGCCATCCCAAGCTGGATCTGCTGTCTCATTTCCTGTAGTTGGGCCACTTTTGTGCACTTTACCTGTGGAAGATTTAGTTTTCCACGGGAAACGATCTTCTATGATCATCAACAGACCGCTTCACTCCTGGGAACCTTTTCAGATTCCCAGGTTCTGGTGCGGGCATCTGCCCTCAGTAGAGCACCCTTAGGTCAGGTCCACATCCGCCTCCACAAGCCCTGCACTCAGGCAAACTCTCATCTATGGTTAAAGTCTTCCTTTAAAGGCATAACGGGCTACAAGACTGCATTAAGTTTCAGAGAGGCCCACAGAAACAGAAAAGGTTGTTTGTTCCTCTGGAGAGTTCAGCAAATCCAAAAAGGCTGCCAAGAACCTTGTTGTGAGGAGCTGGTGGTGTGTAGAGGGGAAGGAATCTTGTTAATTCAGAGTGCCGAAAATGAAAGCGACATCTTGAATTAACAAAGTGTGGCTTATCTGATATTTTTCTAATGAATAGCAGGGTATCTACTTGTTCTAGGAGATACAGACTTTTAAGTAAATATCAGATGAAGCAAGTCGGCATGGGTGTGTAGTGGTCTCCTGTGGTCCCTTCCTCTTCTGCCCACACCTGCGCGGTGCTGGTGCCAGCTGGGGGTGTTCCATGAGCGTGTCTCTGCAGTGTACTAACCCTGGTCTTTTCCCTCTCTGCCAGTACACCTCTAAGTTACTGTCTTGCAAGGTGACTTCCGAGGTACTTTTCAACTTGTTTGTCTGAATGCATGCTTGACCCAGGTGCATGCTGTCATGGTTTGCCATTTCCTGGTGTGCTAAATGAGAATGGCAAGGAAAATGGCTTGTCCCTGTGTGTATTTCTCCCTGGCTTTTCTGACCTGGGGGACCACCTCAGAATGTTGGAGTCCCCCAGCCATGAGACGGGTGCTGTGTTTGCTGTGCGGTGAGGTGGGCTTGGAGAAGGCTTTGCCCGTACATAGATCTGGAAGATATTTGAACTAGAAGGTGCAGCTGATTAGCTGCGGGGATTCCTCCAGGTTCTTTCCACATTCATAACACACATACTGTGGTCTGGTTAAAAAAGCTGCAGCCCGTGCAGGCTGAGCCGTTGATTCTGACCAGGCCTTTGCTACTTTAACACAAATGCAGAGAGCTCCATCTCCTGGATTCAGGATGAGTTTTTCCACATGCAAACCATCTCAGTGCCCCATCACTCCAGCCTTGAAACTTATGTTTTTGTCTTGGAAGCTTTTTTTTTTTTGGTACCAAGGATCAAACTTACAATCTCACATTGCCAGGCAGGTGCTTATGTCACTGAGCTAAATCCCTGGCCCCTCCGGAAGCTTTCTTAAGCAGTGGTCTCCCCAGAAACCTGCTTACTTCTCCCACAACTTCCTTGTACATAGATCTCAAACACCTATGAGAAAGCACACTTTTTATTTCTATGCTATTGTTTTTATTTTAAAAGGATTATTCAAAGTATACAGCAGATCATCGGAGCTCTGCTGTGTGTCAGGCACCGTTCTAGGTTCCAAGAACACAGCAGAACACAGCAGTCAACAAAACAAGTTTCCGATGTCATGGAGCTGGCATGTCCCATTTCTGATAATATAATACAATGAGACAATAAAATCTACCCCGCCAGCTTTGCCCATTCTAATAGTCGTTTAATATTTTCAATAGAAGTTTATGTTGCAAACACAGTTCCAGCCCTCTCGTTACTTCTCCCAGTTTACACTTCTCTGTCTTTGTCACACATTTTCTGTCCTTGAGGCAACTGTTTTTGACCTTGGTGTTCATTTCCATGCATGTTTTTGTACCACATTTTTAAGCATACTGAAGCAACAGTTTACATTTTTGCATGTTTGAAAACCATTTACCATTTATTGGTGAGTCACTGCAGTGTCCTCTGTCCTTCACTCTGTCTGCATTGTTTTTAGATTTGCTCTTGCTAACTTCTATGGCTCTAGTGCACTTACGGTAATTGATATGTGGTATTTCGCTGAATGACTATGTGACCGTGTGTTCACTATGATGGAAACTAAGTCGTTTCCATGTTTTTTTTTTTTTTACAGTTGTTGTTTGTTATTACAAACAATATTTCAGTGAATGTTCTTGTGTGTTTCTTTATTCACCTGTAGAGCAATTTCTCTCCCTAACGTAGAGCTGGGTGTAGGGCTTGTGCATCGTCACAGTCGGAGGCTATTAGCAATGACTCCTCAGGGCTGGGGACCTAGCTCGGCGGCATGCGCCTGCCTGGCAAATGCAAGGCCCTGAGTTAGATTCCCAGTACCAAACAAAAACAAAAACAGATTCTTTAAATTGTACCAACCTACAACAGACTATGTATTTTAAATATATTTCATGGTTTAGCAAAATAACTATACTTAGCTATAGATTTGAGATGTTGATTACTAATTTTTATTAACAAGGTATAAACACACCTTGATTACCAAGGTTACAACTATTTCAATAAAGATTCATTTTTTAAAATCTGGATCATCATGAGGGAACTGTAGATAGATATCATCAGAAATTCAGGATCGTAAGTGGCCATACAAATTAGTGGGAATTAATTAAGGAAAAGGAGTTTATTATCGGTATACTTAGTGAGTTATTTGGGTTCTTGATCATTAGATATTCAGACCCAGGCTATGCTAATGGTTTCCCTAATTATAAATAGTATTCTTCTTCCCATTAGACACTTTGTGATCAAGGCCCATGAGGAAAGGGACCCTTCTGTCTGCATCACGAAGCAATGGGCCTGACACGTGGTAGCAACCTAATAAACTTCTAAGGTGAACGGTCAGATGAACTGTAATCTTCTGAAGAGTAGAGCAGACTAAATTTGCTCAAGCTGATTGAGCATTAAGACAGAATTGAATAAGCAAGGAATATTTGAAAAGGCTGGAGAATTTTTTTTTTCAGAACATTAGATATATTTCAACTTTCCTAGAAAGCTTTCAATTTGTGTAAACAATCTAAAAGGCAAACAGATGACCATTTTACACAATGTAGAACGTCTATAAAAATACCTTGCCTTTGTGTGCCAGTGCATGGTTTATAAATCCTGTCACATGATCATACAAATGATTGATAATGTACTGGGCACTTGACACTGGACTCAGTACTTTACATGTGTTATCTCATTGGTTTCTCAGGCCAACCCTTTGCTATTGTACATATTATTTTATGTGAGGATACTGAGGCACACAGTAGATGGCTTTTCCAAGGTCACATAATCGCTAGAATTTAAACTTAAACCTACCTGGACATGAGCATCTACAGCCTGTCCTAAAAAAGCACATAAAAAGTAGGGCAAGTAGAGTTTTCATTTTCTTGAAGAAGAACCTTGAAATACAAGATAGACAACAAAAGACGATACTGCACCTAGGAGCTGAGTGTGGTGGCTCAGCCCGGCAGCCCCAGCATGGGAGGAGCCAGGAGGACTGAGTTTAAGGCCAGCCCCGAGACCTCGTCTCAAAAGAAACAGACAGGCAGACAAGCAAACAAACAAAACAACAGAAAGCAAAATGCAAAGCCCTTACAAGTACACTCCAGTGCTGTTTCTCAGTTCCATGCCACCACCCACTGGGCAAAAAAGTTCTTCGTTTAGCTCCACGCCCTTCTGACCAGTGTGTTTTGCTTAGACATTAAATGACTATGGTGTGCTGATACACAAGCCACGTGATGACGTGGTGTAAGTGCCCATAATGCATATTCGTTCAGCAGACGTGACCTGGTGCATCTTCCAACGTAGGTCCAGCTGTCCCTGCTGGGAGGAAGGTACCCTGCCGCTCAAGAGTCATTCATTTGACAAAGGCACAGGGGAGGGAACATTGAGAGGGAACTCCAGTCCTTTTACCAGAATCTGTTTATACCTGTCCTCCCGTCTATGCAGTGGCCCGCACCTCCCTGCTTCTCTGGAGTTGCTAGTGTTACCGACCCTTGCCTAAATTAGTATTTTCAGACAGAGCAAAGCCTTTAGCACAGTTTGGAAAATCAAGCTGTGCTGGCTCTAATGGACTTTTCTTTAAAATCAGAGATTTTGCATGCTGAGCTAATGTCAGAGCACTTGGTTGGCATACACAGGCTTGCTTTTGCTGTAGTGTCATCACCTAGAGCCATGCGTTGGCCACCTAAGTGCCACTCATCTGGATCTCATCTTAATCAAACTAACGCTGGAAGGGATGAGCTCCATCCGTCCTCTCTTAGGAGCCTCCAGACCATTCCAGGGAGCCGAAGGGAGGCCCTAATGTCAGCCTGCTTTTCCTTGTTTAATTTTCATGCACACGGCCCTGAGGTTACATCAGAATGTGACACTGCTTACTGACCTGAAACGCTATTTTATTTTCACTTACTGATTTCATGTTTAGTTAAGCCAAAGTAGATTTTTGTTGAATAAAAATCAGAGTGTATGCAGATGTGCAAGGCTCAGCCCACTAGTTACTGCTTCCTGCTCTGTTTGTTCAGAAAGAGACTAAAAGCATCTGTAGCTGTGCTGTGCAGTACAGTGGTCACTAACCAAATGAAGCTAGTTAAGCTTAATTAAGTTAAAATTAAATACTTCATCTCTCAGCCCTGTTCAAGTGTTCAGTAGCCACACGCACACGGTGACCGCGGTAGTGTGTGATGTGAACAGAGCAGTTTCACCATCGCATACCAGGGAGGTTTCAGGTGGACAACACAGTGCTGGGCCGTGTGTGGCGATCCGCTTCATCTGAGCACTTGTGCAGCGTGCACCAAGTACAGGGAACACCAGCACCACCACCAGGTCAGGGGAAGCCAACTTCACAGATCCAAAACACCCTTGCAGAATACTTCGAAAGAGTGTAATCTCTCAGCTGGGCGTGGTGGTGCATGCCTGAACTCCTAGGCCTCCTTCTACTCTGGGAGGCTGAAGCAGGAGGACTGCAAGTTTCAACCGAGACTGGGAAATTTAGATCCTTTCTCAAAATAAAACATGAAGACAGGGCAAGGGATGTGATCTCCAGTAACACGAAACCAAAACAAAACATGTACATGTTGAAAACTATAGCCAAGTACGGGTTGAATTTGGGCTGTGAAATAAGTGCATTGCTCTTCTTTCCTTCCTCTCCTGCTCAGCCCTCCACCCCTACTAACTAACACCAGATAGCTTTTTACTTTCCTCTCATGTAGGTGCTATGGAAGGAAGGAATGAGAGAGATAGAGAGAGACAGAGAGAGGAAGTTGGTTTGTATACATAACAAATATTCATGAACTCCGCATAATTCTTCCCCCCTCTCTCTTTAGGTCCTTGAGGCTACAAGAGTAAACCGAAGAAAGAGTGCCCTGGCATTGCGCTGGGAGGCAGGAATCTACGCCAACCAGGAGGAAGAAGACAATGAATAAACATCCTTCACCCCAGCAAGCTCTTTGGTGCTTGGGATACCAAGAAACCAAGAAAGTATCAACTCAAAGCATTTTAATGGACTATTTATTAAAGTGCATACAAACTCAGCAATCCTTAGGTAGACCAGAAGCTGCAATGCACAGTGATGAAAAAGAAAGTGGAGAGAAAGTCTGCCCATCAACTCTGAGACGCAGGAGTCAGGAGAGAAAGAATTTCTGTGGGACTCAAAGACTCTGGGTTTGGATTAGTCCACATTTGATCCAAAAGAGCAAAGGAAGTTCAAGCAAATCGGCATAGTTGCTGTAGGCAGAGCTTAGACCAGCTTTGCTGGCTGATGGGGAAACACGGTAGGGACAGAGCCATTCAGAGAGCCATAGGCCGTGTGGTCTGCACCGCATAGCGTATTTCTCTGAACCGGCTTCTCACTCCTTAAACATAGCGTCAGAGGTGTTGGGTTGACTACATCTTTTTTCCAGCAGCTATAAAATCATTGATGTTTCTCTCCATAGTTGTCCAAAAGAGGCAGCTGTGATTTGGTTTCTCTTACACTTTCTTATTTTTAATTGGAAACAATCAATGATCGCAATACACAAAGCCCATATTTTTAAGACAATTTCTTCACATTGTAGATACAATCTATTCTGCAATAGGAGGTTGAGAAAGATGGGGAAAGAAAGCCAAACCAAATGGGTTATTTTAGCTTTAGGGTCTTGTCTGCTTATACTATGACTGACCTGCAGGTTAGGAGAACACATTTTCACGATTGCATTTCTTCATAGGAGAACTATATTTAGTGGGCAACAACTATTTTTATGATGGGATGGGGTACATTAACATGGATAAATCTGTACACGATGGACAGCTTTGTTCAGGATGTGGGGGTATTTTTGGAGTGGCAATAATTGAAAAAGGGGCAAACTCTGACTTTGAGAGGTAGACAATAAGAAATAAAAAGGTGTTTGTAACTATTTTGTACTATAAAGGGGGCCTTAGAGGTAATAGGGAGAAGGACGGGTTGTTTTGAATAACCAGAAAGGAAACATTACAGGCATGAAGGGAAAAAAAGAAACAGAAAGGGAGGGTGAAAAGCGGGGAATCAAGGAACAGAGATTATTTTTGCTGAGCAACTAGTGCTTTTCAGGGTGATAAAGAGAAAATTATAGAAATTTAAGTGCAGGCTTGGAATCAGTTACAAATCCTAAAGATGGGGTATGTATGAGAATACCTTTGTGCATTTGTGTAGTATATGTTCACAAGGGTGTGTGTGTGTGTGTGCGTGTGTGTGTGTGTGTATGCGCGTGCCTGTGTGTTGTTAGGTTTCCAGACTGATCACAGCACCTGGGTGTACAGTTATTTCCTCCAAAGCTGTTTGCCAGCTTCAGGAGTAAGTGCGAATTTCTTTTTTATGAAAAGGGATAGAGAAGCACTGAGCTGATGCAGTATTTGTAATATTAAATTGACCTAACCTGGTATTGGCATGCGTCACCGCTGCAGAGTTTTGAGCAGTTTTTGTAATTTGACATGTAGGAATGTATCCTATTTATTCTCATCCTTTGTATTCATGCTTAGTATACTTTAGAAGACACCAGCTGTATTCTTTCTGTCATTTAAAGCAATATTAAAAGGGCATTCATTATGGGGTGCCCTACATTTCTGGATGTGAAAAGTGTTCAATTTCTGGCCATGAGAAAAACAAAAGAAAACAAATAGAAAAAAAAAGAAAGAAAAAGAAAAAGAAAAAAACCAACTAACCAGCTTTCATTTATTTTTTTGTTTTAAAACGATGTTTTTTTAAAAAAGCAATAATTAAATCAGACCTCACTAAAATTCACATTTGTTTTCATATGGTTATGTCATAAGCTCTAATATGTTATTCTAATAAGTAGCAATTTCACAGGATTTGTATGTAGTGCTACACTCATTATGTTTGCTTCTATTAAACTAGTGTTGACTTTGGGGGAAAGTTTATTTACAGAGGAGCGGTCAGCACAGTACAGTGATGCAACTGTTTGAAACTTACAAGGAAGCTTTAAAGTTGCCAAGGGAACCTGTAATTGGATGCCAGATTCTGCAACCAGTGGCCAAAATTGCACATGGGCAGTTGGTATTATCTCTAGATGGTGGGTTCCTTTGAATATTCAGCAAAATGCTAGTCCCTGGGGACACGAAACCTATAAGATCTCTGCTTTGGGGAACTGATCTGATGGTGAGGGAGGTTGGCATGGAGACAAACATTCCCAGAAAAGGAACATGCATGTTAGATGAGACATCCTGCCGAGGGAAATGGGAGCATCCAAGAAGAAGGACCAGCTGTCTATGAGGATTTCCAGCTGGAGGGCCCAGATGCCTGGGCTGAAGGCAGGGTGGTGACAGGTGTTCCCAAGGGAGACACACGGATGGGAATAGAGAAGGCGGCAGCACTGTGTGGCCCCAGGCCTGGCTAGGAGGATGGCTGGAGAGCAGGAGAGTTCTGCGGGGTGCACAGAAAGATGTGCTTCCTGTTTTCTGGATGGGCTCATGGATTTGCTGGAGACACAGGCACGGTGTAGATGATCTTTGCATTGTCCCCGAGAGGAAACCAGCCTTCCGACTTAACCCATTTTGTCCTGCTTCGAAAGGAACCTTGTAGGCACATGAGAGCTTACCGTGGAGAAGAAAATTGGCAGTGGAAGGGAATGTTAGGGAGCCACACAGTTCGTGTAGTCGCTTTGGTGGCAGGTAGAATAGCCTTTGATGACACTTGATTGGACCAGAAGCACACATTATCTAAGGACTAACAGAGTTATAGGCCTGGGGTCCTGCGGGGCCATGTTCCACACGTGGATGAGGAAATAAAGATTTCTGTGGCTCCTCCCCAGTCACAAAGCTGTGCCACATTTCTGAATTTTGCCTGTTCCCCTAGACTGCCTCCAGGGTTTTGCTGTCTATTTCCTTGTTCTAACAGCTGAAACTTCCATTCTATTCCCATAAAATGGAAGTCACAGTTCCCTTGGGAGAGCTAGGTTTTCTGTCTCTTGAGGTTTTTACTCATTCAAAACACACTGGTCGACCGCTTTAGACATAGCACTGTGCTAGGCTCTAGGATCCCACAAGCCCCTCTGTGGCTTTCTGAGGAAGGGACAGACCCCTGGAGGAAAGCCCTTCCTGCTTCATCCACAGGGACTTTGCCTCCGAGGTGCAGCCCCACCCTCCAATAGCATTGGAGCTTGTTAGTCTCCACGGCAACAGACATTTAGATGATGTAGATGTTAAAGCCTTCCCAAAAGTATTCCACGCTGCAGTGTTTATGAACATTCACTTTCCTCCAGTTAACTACTGACACGCCTTGGTTTTCTCATTCAGAAGTTAGGGAAACAGGGTCTGTCAGTGGCAGGAGGCCGGGCTGTGTTCTACTTGGGTGACACAGTGCAATTTCCTTGCCTCTCTATTCCCATGCATGCTGCCCACCCTTGGCAATGACATAGAAGCAGTAGATAGATCAGTGTCTATATATATGTATATAAAAATATACATATATACCCACACACGTATATAAAGCATAACGAGGAACACTAAAACAGTGTTGACTCAAACATTTTTTCCAACTACAAAATAAATTTAAACTATGTATTGAAAAAAATAGCATAAGTGTTAGAGATGGTGACTATATCCAGTTTCAGTTACAGAACCAATTTCCTGGATTTTAAGCATTCAGTGAGCTGCCAATTTTGATTTTGTGTTGCTCTTTACCTAGATGACTTTTTCTTTTTTTCTTTTTTTTATTGGAGGAGGGGAAGAAAAGGAGCAATACTGTGTTTGAAAATTATACTGTGTATCTGGCTTTCCTGTGTATGTTAACCACTTAAATGTTATTATCCTGCTTTTGGTTTTATAGTGATTGTGAGGCATTCAATGCAAGTATACAGTTATTTTCTCATTAAAACCCACTGTGTGTTGTGTTTTTGTAAAGGATGGCTACTTGTTTGAGTTCGGGGTGGGGGGGCGTTCAGAAGACCAGTGCCCAAACTGTGGCAGCAGTGCCAGCTCTGAGATCTGTTCCTTTCTGCAGCAGCATCTAATTCCTCACTTAGAGCACAAAGGAAGCAGTCCTACCTGGACGGACATCACTGTGCCAGGCTGTTCCTGTCTCCAGCTGCCGCAGCTAGGCTCCTGCAGGACACAGACATGACACAGATGTCTCAACGTGGGTAAAGCCAAAGCAGTTTTGAGGCAAACAGCAGGACAAACCCTAAAGTCAGGCCTTGCTGGTGTCTCTCTGTCTCCAAACTTTCTCCTTACATCCCAGCATCCGGGCTTGGCCTTCTCTGTGCAGAACAGAGAACTGCAGACTTCAAAGAGTACATAAAGACCCAGGTTCATCAAAAGCTTCCTCTTCAGATGTCACCTGCACTTATGTAAGTTTCCAGCTGCGCCATGAGCCATGACCTAACCTGCCCCTTCCCCTCCCTGGGCCACACACCTCGTTTTTCTGCTCTTCCTCCTTCCCCTCTTTCTGGGATGTCATTCAGTGGTTTCTCTTCTCTCTCTCTCCCTACTTGTCACTGCCCAAGAGTTCCAAGTGTGTCTCCCTGCTCTAAGCACCCAGGGGCTTCCTGTGGATGTTGTAGATGGTGAAAGTCCTGCATTTCTTCCAGGGAAATTTGGAAACCTCCTGTGGAAATTTGATTAAATTCCAAAGATTGTGTGTAGCCTTTAAAAAGTGCTAAGAGTGTGACTGGTACTTTCTAAACTTTCCATGAACGTGACATAGTCAGCTTTCTATGAGTTGGGAGGGGAGGGGAAGGTGTCTGCGTGGCACACATACAGATCCATCTTGCCATTATGCTCTGAACAGTATAGTGCAACAATTTACATGACATCTGCTTGTATTAGTACAAATAATTCAATGATGATTTAAAAGAAATGTACAATTTATATGTAAGCACTATGCCATTTTATATAAATGATTTGAGCATCCATAGATTTTGGTAACTCCATGAGGACCTGGAACCAATCTCCCATGGAACTGAGGGACCTGTGTGTTCATTTCTTCCAACAACCCCACGGAGTATACTATTTTGGTCTCTGTTTTACATCAAGGAAGCAGGTTGTAGGAGGGTTATTTCATGATGTCACAGCTCACAGATGGCAGCATTCTGACTCCCAGCATTCCTCCTGACCCCCTCTTCCCACTAAAACATACAACAGGCAACTTCACACGCAAAGCTGGGTTGACCTGTGTGAGACCTGGATGAAGATCAATGTGTCCTCTTGCTGTGTGTTGCAGGAAAGTGCTCATAGGGTTCAAGACCAATGCTCTGTCAGCAGCACAAGCCTCGGGGGGAGAACCAGGTTATGATAGGGACAGCAAAGAAATCTCTCCCTTTGAAGGAGCTGTCTCTGAGCTGATCTCCTCCAGGAGGCCCAAGAGGTGTCCTAGGTATCAAAAAGTTGCCAAAAAGAAGCCAGAATAAAGGTGACGGAAATGTGTTAAATGGTAGCAATGGCTGCACAAATCTAAATTTACTAAAATCATCCAATTATATACTTGAAGTTTCATTATGTAATTATACTGCAGTGAAGCACTAGGAAAAATAAAGGAACCAGAGTGAAAGTTTGGAAAAATGGGACAAGGAAGCCATACAGCCTTAAAAAGAAAGGAAAAAGAAAGAAGAGTAAAAGAAGGAAAAGAAAGCAAAAAACAAAAAGAAAGGAAGAAGAACAAAAGAAATTCTTTACAACATGTAGCTTCCAATTCATCTGCTAATAAGGAGGAAAGCTTGCTGGCCTTGAGGTGCCAACCAGGAGCCAGAAGTAGTGACCCTGTGATTGGCTGTGGCTTCAGAGTCTGATCAGGGGCACCGGGCACTGCTGGGTGAGTCAAGATACGCAAAATTGGGGTGTAGCAGGGAGAGTGCTGGAAGCTCAGGTTGTGGAAAGCAAGGCTCTGAACTGGTAGAGGAAATGGAACATGGTAAACGGGATAGTCCAAAGCAAAGTTATCTTTATGGAATTTTCCCCCCTCTTTTTGGGATTCTTATTGAGCAAGCATTCACCAAAAAATCTCCCATGGTGAGACATTATAAACCTCCACCGGGGAAAGGGAAGTTCGTTTGTGATAACGTGAGGAAGAGGGGACAGGGGCCTATAATCCCTTGGGTCATTTCTGTTTATTTTTAACAAGGAGACTGCCATTTATGGGACCTGTAAGAGGATGAGGTTATTTTGGAGCACTGCTTATTTTAATTATGGGATTCCCAAGCTAGGAGACACTGATGAATCTATCCCTCTCTGTGTAAAATCCACACAAAATTCACAACTGGGCTGGTAGGGGAACAGAAAAGAAATGACAAATTAGGAATTTTTTTTCTTTTTGAGACAGAGTTTCACTCTGCAGCCTAGACCAACCTCAAACAGTCAGCAATCCTCCTACCTCAGCCTCCTGAGTGCTGGGATTACAAGTGTGTACCACCATACCTAGACAAATGGGGAACTGAAAGGGGGGCTTCAGAAGATTGTAAATTTACAAATTGATGCCAAAGGAAAGAGCGGAGTCTCAGGGAATATCTGAAAGTGCCACACTGGCAGCTTCTAAATGCTTCCCCAACACTCGGATGCTTTTCTAAAAGGAAGAAGAAAGTTCTCACGGTATGGGTTGTTTTATTCCACCAAGAAACAGTGATTTCAATGTCTATTATCTTTGATGAAACAGTTTTCCAAACCCTAGCTGCCCAGGTGGTGGACTCTGAACAATTGGGCACAGATTTATCTCTCAGATTTATCTGAAAAAAGCACAGATTTATCTCTTTTCTTTCTTTCTTTCTACTCATTTATAGAACATTTTGTCTCTGCAGTGGTCTCCAGCTGGTGACACCAGTGTGCCTCTGAACAGCGATGCTCCTCAAATTAGAGGAGGCTCCTGGCCCTGGGAGGTTTGTCACACACAAGCTAGGGTCATTCTCTGAATTTCCAGTGCAGCCCCACAGTTCTGGAAAGCGGTCCAAGAGCCATCTGCTTAGTTTCTGGAGATAACACTATAAGAATCACTGGTCTGGAGTCTAGCAAATGCGTGGGTCAGGACATACCACTTATGCTTGCGGAACTGCGGAACTGGGTTGGGGCTGCAGCTCCGGGTTAGAGCACTTACCTAACTTGAGGTACCAAGAACACACACACACACACAATTTACCATCTACTGATCCATGTGAATGCCGTGTTCTGATGATTTGCTGGGAGCTTTTGTACATGTGTGGATTGCACATTGGTTTATCCCTGTAGCTGCTGGTGAGGCAGCAATTAGATTCTTGAGGGAAGGTTAAGCTCTCTAATGGGCCAAGCAGAAGAAAATGAGAAAGAGAATTAATACCTATGTATGTCCAGACTTCATGGACAAGATCAGTGGATTCATTTAACCATAGAAGAGGTTTTTCTCCTATGGAGTGATAGCAATAAGTCTGGATTCAATAATGTAATATTTTTTGAAGCCAAGCACAGAGACCTGATTTGTGCCTGACTCCCTAGAAACTTCTGTGACCCCTCTCTTTCCCAATCACCAGGTGAAGTATATTTTCTTTCAATATTGTGCCCAGCGTCAGCAAGATGGCCTTGGAATGGGCCCTCTCTATCCTGTCCATTGCCTTTGGTCAAACTAATCAAGGATAAGAAAAATCTGAAGAAATAATTATCATTGTTCTTGATATTTGCAAAACTGGAAAATATCTTGTGACCAAGGAATTAGGATAAGATGTGAATAGTTTAGCCACAAACTTGTGAGAAAATATCTACTAATGTGAGATTGCCTGTGTTCTGGGTACACTGCCTCTGAATCATCTTCCCGGCAAGATGACTCTTTAGGGATAAAACTCTCCCTTTTTCTGATCAACTGGCTTATGGTGAAATGTTCTTCTTGGGGAGAGCGGGGGGTGGGGGGTGGAGTGTGGGGGATGGGGGGCCAGGGTGGGGCTGGAGTGTGGGGTGAGGGATTACAGTCTGTCTCAGAGGCCAAGCTAATGAGATCATCTCAGACTCAGCAGGGCACCTGTGTTTCCCGCGTCACAAATGACCCTGGCATCTAGCCCAGAGATGGCTATGGAGAACCGGGTCATCTTTCTGGACAATTCTGGGCTGCTCATCACAAGCAGATAAAAGATGCTGCAGGCAGCCATGGAGCAATGTCTGGAGACAGAACCACACTACACAGACCCTCCACAATACCCATGTAGTCCCAGTTGGCCCAAAGAACACTGTAGCAAACTGCACTCAAACCCAAATAACAGTCTTCAATGAACTGTGGGGTTTGCCATGGTTTCAGTTACCCGAGGTCAGCCAACGCGTGCAGATATTCAATGGAAAATTCCAGAAAGAAAAACTCCATCAGTTTAAAAAAACACAACCGAATAAATATCAGTTCATTCTATGTGTGAAAGGCAAGAAAAGGAAAAGAGTAGCAAATAGATCATCTCTGGGACTCGGACCCCTCACCTGTAATGTGATAGGTGACCGCAAAAGCAGTGCAGAGAAACTACCAGGGTATCTTCATTTTGCCTGTGTGTCTGCCAGAATGAAAAGGTACTTGGCTGGGAAAAGGCAGAATCAGAGGATGGGACTGGTTCCCTGCCATTGTCACCTGTGTACTACAGGGCTTGGGAATACCTCTCTCACTTGCTAAATGACCGGTCTTGAATGAGATTTCCACAAAAGAAAATGATTACGTGTCTGCTAAGACAAGGTGGCCGAGGCAAACACTCACTCTCCATGGAACATCCTATTCCCATGTGAATGAATCCCAAAGGAAGAGTGGTATCATGCAGCATTCTTACCATGAGGGGCATGGAAGAGAGTAGTGGTGTCACTATAGCAACCACCTGGTGAGTATGCACTGAAGGTTTGAGGACTCTGGTCCATGACTCCAGCCCATGCCCAAGTCAAATGCAACAAAGTTGA